ATTTAAAACAGATTCAAAATTACAAGTTGTGAGCAAAATGTCTGGCGGAGAGAGACCAAGAGAATGTCAAGGTAAAAATGCTATAAAATTTAAATATAAATAAATTAAAATTTTTAAAATTATAACACGGATGCTCACAGACATGATTACATTATACGTATTTGTTGTACAATCATTGTTTCTAATATCTGAATATAATTAGTAAATACAATGTCGTACATAAATGATAAGACAGATTTGCCCCTATTTTTGCATCTGAAAGCATCCGTGCACTATATGCTAATCTATTGATATATAAAACTTTGAATTATTAATAGACAGCAACACAATAACTGTTATTTACAGATTCCTGAGATGACGGAAGCGCTCATGGCTTTGCAACACTTCGGCCAATGTTTGACCAGGTTTTCTCAAATCACGGGCCAAACGATGGAGGTCGCGGTCCACTGAGTCGGGTCCAGTGGGAACAGTGTCTGCCATTAACTCAATAGATTCGGACAAATAAAACAAGTCTTTTGTGTGGATGAGTTGCATATATTCATTGTCAGTAACAGTATCGCCCCACTCCTCGTACTTTTGTCGCCATATACTCAGACCAAAGTCCGCCCATTTGGCCACCGGTCCGGTCGGTGTCTCAAAGATCAACACATTGCCCGCGTGGGCGTCGTAATGGACAACACCCATGGCGTGCATATAACACATACCGGCGCACATATCACGAGTGAAATCGATCGCCAACTCATTAGTTAGTGTAGAGCCGAAGCAAAAATCATTAAGATCACCTTCCGCTAAATCCATAATCAAAAACATGCGGTCATACGAGACAATGGGTTTTATCTGTGGATCGCTTTTGTGCACTAAATATCTCTTTTTGCCCAAATTGATGGCCACTTTGAGATCAACAATGTTTTGATGTGCAATACGTTTCATAATCTGTTTCTCCATCTCTAGATGGAGACGAACTATAGGCTGCGATATCGACGCGAACGTCACGTATTTGGCCGCAAATGGCTTCCCGGCCGCCGCGCCCTTCATATGTTTGCCCGCCTCTGTTGTCAAATTTTTAATCTACAAAACACACAAATTTTTTAAATCGTTAACACATTAATGTATAACTCAATTTTCATATCACTAATAAGCCAACAAATAATAGTGTTTAAATTATTAAAAACATACCCCGTCGTTGAAAACGCCGCGATAAACTTCCCCGCAGAAGCCTTGCCCGAGCCGTCCGGTGTCACTGAACTTAATGTCAAATCCATTTTCACGCAATGTTTTTAAATCACCGGCGGTTTTGTCATTGAGAGCCAACTTTTGATCGGCCGGTGATTTGTTGAGATATGTTTTATATTTGTCCATATCTTCGCTACTCTTCACATTTAGCACTCCGGACGACGTGCTGTCGGCCGGTCTCGGGAGCGGTTGGCCGTAAGTGTGGATGTCATACATCCGCTGAAGTCTTTCTTTTGGCGCAACGGTTGGCATGAGTGGTGGTTTCCATTGCGACCCACCGCTGGCCGAACCACTTGTTTGGCCACTAGTATGCGTCTCACCGCTGGCCAAACCTCTTGATAAGCCAATGCTTTTGTTCATAACCGGCGCCTTTCGTGTGAATCTCTGTTGTAGTTCAAGTCTATACTTCTCTAATTCAGTCAACTCATTACTGGGCGCAGGTGTGGGCGCGGCTGAGCCTTGTGTTCGGTATGATTGTGTCCATTGCGCGCCACCCGTTGCCGAACCGCTAAAGTGACCGCCGGTTTGGTCAGTAGCCGGTGTTTTACGTTTGAATTTCTGCTGAAGTTCGAGTGTAAACTTCTCTAATTCAGTCAACTCATGGTTGGACGTAGGGGTGGGGGCGGCACCGGATTCACTAAATTGAGACACTGATTGTTGGCCGGACGTGTAGGGAGTTTGCCTTCCCTGTGCCCCTAAGGGTGCGTTTGTGAAGTGCCGCTCATCTGTGGCCTCGGGTTTAGCACTGGGAGGAGGTGTAAGACTATCACTGCGTCGCCTCTTCGGCGCTGGTCTCTGTCCGCCAGACATTTTGCTCACAACATGTGATTTTGAATGTGTTTTTAATGAAGACAAATATAATTTACTTTATTGTTTAAAATTCAAAATTAAATTAAAAATACTGATAAAATTATTATTTTTAACATTTATAAACCCAAGAGTTTGTTCAATTGGTTAATCCCTGGCATTTCATTGGACACTTGTGTTCAAACCTAATATATGGTCCAACAATCCCATCGCTCCCATATAGTGGTGGCATTATATTTAATACTGAATTTCAATCATTTGTTATACGAGATTTTCCCCAGAATAATAGTTCGCCTTTTATTTTTCTACTTTTACTCATTCAGTGGGTTTTTCCATTTCAATTCAATGTCATTTTCATTTTGTGGAGATTATCCCTTCAAGGATAATCTCCTTAACTGTACTTTTACTAAACTATGCTGTATTTGATGTTTTGCTGGAGAGCACTGTCTGCCTCTAGCATTCAGTTCTCTCCCACCCGCCAAACCGTTCACAATAAAGTTATTTAGTCTCAACCGCAGTGTCTTTTGTTTCTCGTCGCGTATCACCAGTAAGTGATCCGCGCCTACTCTTGGTCCACACCCAGTGGTGGACAGGGAGATCCGACACGCGTTGCGACCGGCGTGAAGCCCCGAACGGCAGAGAGACCGGCGTGAAGCCCGAACGGCAGTGGGAAACGGCGTGAAGCCTCTGAGAACTCAACACTATTTTAGCCATTTTTATCGTTTGCGTTTGTGGTCATACAAGTCGACCACCAAATATCACCCCCACGAGGCCTTTAATCTCCAGAGCATAGCCAACTCCGGAAACCTCGTATAATACATTTCCAGAGTCTAATGGTTATAATGTAATGCCTTTTAAATACGTTCAATGTGTTTACGACAATATTTGCCGAATTACTCGATGTCCAGTACTATAACACTTGTTTTGAGACAATGGTATCGCACATCAGATGCGGCCATGAGTTGTGCGGTTCTCTACTTCTCACTCTACAGTGACCGTCGCTTACCATTGATTGTGATCGACATCTGTGTTCAAACATCCGGAACGAAAACAATTATAAATATTTTTTAATGCAAATTATGAGTTAATTATTAGTTAATAAAACACTTGTTTGCCCATTTGTCGCTGCATGTGATCCGTGAATGTGATGGACATAAAAGAATTTGCATTTCAGATAAAAAGTTTACGAAAAAAGTTTTATACTTTACATAGAAATCCATTTGGTTCTCAATAACAGTCTTCTGGCCATCACTTCCTATGGAATCCATGTCCACTCGAATGGACATCAAAACACTTACACTTGATATCCGCTGTTTTCCCTGAGATTTCACTGACCAGTGATTACTTGTCTTTCTTTTTGTGTCCAAAACCCATGAAATCGTTGCTAATCTGTAAGAAAACCGCAACACTTGATATCCCTTTCCAGTCGATTACAGACTAATCATTGTCTGCATTCCACAGGACTATGACTTCAAATGCTGCACAACCAATGAATCCAATGATAAGTCTATCCTTTGTTTCTTAAGCCTTAAACAGTTCACTCGATGCCTATCTGTAAGAAACCCCAGCACTTGATATCGCTTTCCCGTCCATTACAGAGCACTCGGTGTCTATAATACACGGGACGATGACTTCAAGTGCTGCACAACCAATGGATCCAATAGTCAGTTCATTTATCCCTTCTTAGGCCACAAACCATGGAATCGATGCCAATCTGTAAGAAAACCCCAACACTTGATATCTCTTTCCAGTCGATTACAGACTAATCGTTGTCTGCAATCCACAGGACTATGACTTCAAGTGCTGCACAACCAATGGATCCAATGATAAGTCCATACTTTGCTTCTTAAGCCCAAAACCAAGAAATTGATACCAATCTGTGAGTAAAACCCCAGCACTCGTGTCCCTATTCCTCATCACTACAAGCTCTCATCGTCTGGACCATAATCTCAAGTGCTGTACTACCCATGAAAGCCTCCCCCAAGACATGCCCTCCCAGTCCTCATCCCTTAAAAACATGTCATTCTTCATGCCATGGATTGCATCCAAACTTGTATTCCTTTCGCCGGTTTTTCAGATCATCTGAACATTGAAAACAAGAAAATGATTAGTATTTTAGTCCAAAAAGTAGTTGTCATGAAATGCAAGCTTTTGTCTGTCCATCACATCCACGGATCAAATCTCGGATTCAAATGCCGACAATGTTTTGCGAAACAAATTTTTAGTTTTGAACGTAAATTTATTTTCAAATTTTAAACTATAAATTGTATAAAAGATAAAAATTTGTTTTATTTTTGCATACATTTCATAAAATAATATTTTAATCAACAATTGATTTAATATAGAAATCAATTTAAAAATAATTCATTGAATACTTGTAAGAATTGGTGACACTTGTGGCGACTACTGTTCTTTGCGGGAATGTGTCCGGTGGTCACCCTATGGGCGCATAGTGTTCATACTGTGAACGTCTACTGCCCGGTGACTACCGAATAGACGCTACATTTCCCGTACGAACGACTCATGCCATTCACCAATCACACAATTATGGCGACTACTGTTTACGCCGGGAATGTGTCCGGTGGTCACCCTATGGGCGCTTACTGTTCATACTGTGGACATCTACTGCCCGGTGACTACCAAATAGACACTACATATCCCGTGCCTAACAACTAATGCCATTCACCAAAACATTACATACTTTTGTAAGAATTGGTTACAATTATAGCGACTACTGTCAGCATAGGTAGCGTTACGGCTGGGTTTGACAACACTTAGCGCATCACAAATCTGATCCCTAATGGGTCTCAAGACATGTAAACTCTGAGACCAATAGGTTTGTGTTACAAATCCAACGCTTCTCCGGAACAGTCATCGGCGGTTAATAGGGAAACGTAGGTCTGGTTAGCCGTATGCGTACGTATGCGGGCAAATGCATGACACAGAAGTGTCACTCTTATATCTCGTATTCGTAATCTCGTTATCAATGAGTGAAGTGTTTGTTTTTCACAAGGAATATGAATTATGGACACAACATTTTCTATACAAACAAACCCTATAAAAAATTATAAACTATAAATATGGCTAAACTATACATTAATCGTTTTCAAAATAAAGTTATAAAATATATTTCATTTAAAAATATTTTTGAAAATCTTTAAGACATTCGGCCAATGATTTTCCCGATCGGGCAATATCTTCGGCCAATTGTGTCAACACATGTGGGACACTATGTCCGGCATCTTTGGCCGACGAGACCATGAATTTGATGACACCGACCATACAATTGATATCATCCACTTTCATGTGATTGAACTCATTTCGACCAATAGTAACGGCCCAGCGTTTAAAGAGCTCCACCGATACACCGGTCCCGAAGTCTGTCCATTTGGCCACAAAATCATCGGCTTTAAGGCCAACGCAAAACACAAGAGCGTTGCCCGCGTGTATATCCTGGTGAATCACACCGTTGTCATGCATGTAGATTAGGCCTAATTCGTGTCAATTAAAAAATGATGGTAAAAATTTCATGTTTTTAACCAATATTACGTTATCATACATACCTGAGCACAAATTCTGTGCAAATTTGATGGCCAACCGATCGGTGAGTCTGCGATCTGTGCCAAACTTGTAAAGACTACACTCCGCGCACTCCATCACCAAAAACATGCGGTCATGCGAGACGATTGGCCGCACATTTCGGTCAATATTGTTAATCAAATACCGTTTTTTACCCAAATTGATGGCCATTTTAAACGTCACAATATTTTGATGTTTGAGTGCTTTCAATAGCTGTCTCTCTGTCTCGTGATAGAGACGAAACATTGGGACAGTTGTCGACACGAACTGCACATATTTGGCGGCAAATCGTTGGCCGGGCTTTACCTGTCCGATGCGAGTGCCGGAACGGCCGCTCAGTTCGCCAATCTATAAGGTATATAATGTGAATTGTAAAATAATAAATTATTAATTTTAAAAAACTTACATGCTCAGTGTAAACACCTTTGTAAACTGTACCGTAGCCACCTTCTCCCAATACACCACTTTTATCGAGTTGTATATCAAAGCCCTTCCCTCTCAGCGTTTGTAAATCTCTAAGGGTTTTGTCCCGCACTTCGTTGTGCCCTAAGGCAGACCCTCCCGGAGCGCCCATCTCTTCACGACTGGGCAGATAGACTTCGGCGGATGTGCTGCCAATCGCGCCTTCAGGCTCTCGGCCTACGGGTAATAACTTGAATGCCTTTTTGAGACGATATTTGGGTGAAGTGCTGGGTATAGGGCTTCCGTAAGGGGCGCCACCCGTCGCCAAACTTGTCGGGTCTCTATTGGGTCGCATCGGAGCCGGTGTTATGTGGTATTCGGGTTGAGAACTAATGGGATTTACTTGAGTCGACGCCTCCATTGGTTTGTCCGCATCGGGCGCAGTAAGTGGTGTGAACGCTATGACTCCCGTATTGTCCACTGGGGTTACCGGATATAGTTGTGAGAGTTCATCCATCGATAAGTCCATTAGATTAACCTCTTGTGATAATCCACGCCTTAATGGTGCCCGAGTGCCCGGCGTCAGGGGGCGACCCATTCCTCCCCTTTGGGTCAACTCTTGTTGCCTATCAGACATTTAAGCGAATTTAAATTTTAAAAGTATTATTTGATAAACAACAAACAAATTTTTGATTTATAATTGTTTGAAATAATAGTATTTTATCGTATTTTTAAATTTCATTTTTGATAAAATATTTTTAAAAAACAGTTAAAGTTAACCAAAAAGTGGTTACAAACAAAAGTCAAGACACAAAACGAGCGCTTAATTTGTGTCCCAAAAACAGTAATCCGAAGACAGTTTTCAGAGAGCACTCCATCGGGCGATACAATGGCCTTAAAGAGAATCCACAAAGAGTTGACAGAACTTCAAAGAGATCCGCCGCCGGGCTGTACGGCCGCACCCAATGGCACCGACTATTTCCAGTGGTCGGGCAGTATTGAGGGCCCGCCGGACACCCCCTACGAGGGCGGGCTGTTTAATGTGCAAATCACATTCCCAGCCAATTACCCGCTGAGTGCACCACAAATCAGTTTCACAACAACCATATTTCACCCAAACGTCAGCCAAACGGGTGCCATATGTTTGGACACATTGAAGCGGAACTGGAGCGCCGGTCTCAGCATTG